TTCAAATTTATATAATTTACAAAAAAAACTTCTACATCATTTTCACTTTTCTATTTCTACTTGAAATTAAGTCTTCATCCACCTCCCAGGGTCTCGTTCGCAGCAACCTCCACGTGGTGAGACCTGAAAACTAGCATTATCGTCGATAGAGTAGGTCCTATCAAGGATCGTTCTAGGCTAATCGACTGCGAAACTGTATGATGCATGTCACAGTATGCCGAATAATTATTCCTTCATTTATCTCCTTTTTAGTCAGAGACTTCTTCTCTGATTTCTTTTTATTTTCGAATCAAGGACTTTTTTTTTGATTCACTCCTTTTCCTCTCTTAGTCCGATAATCCTTCGGCATACGCAGCGTCTTCATATATAGTTTAAAATAAAAATAAGTCTCTTTTAAGTTATCCTCAAACTCAAGAAAGAAAACATTGGTCATCCGCCGTAGGAAATTTCTTTTTTCATTTCAGTATAACATATAATCTTTCCAATCCATTAAATAATTCTTATTGTTCTGTGCATACCATATAATGCATATTACGACAAGAATTGTTTCCAAAAATCTGCGCCTTTGACTGGTAGCGACATCCATGGCAAAACGTTCAAACTGGTAGACAAATGTTACCGATGTGGGAATTCACGCGGAGTAACTGTGACGCCATCCGTGGTTAAACACTTATATTTATTCACTATTTCTTTTTAATAATAATTAATTAAAATAAGCGGAAAATCGCTGACTCTTTAAGCTCGAAGGCGAGAAGAATTGTTAGGTGGTATATTCACGTTACGAAGGATGAATTTACAGATTAGTGATTAAAAATTTCATGTAAAATAATTTTCAACATTTCTATCGGACAACAGTGTAATGTTGTAACAGATACGATTGTATATTGGTTTATCATATTTACTACTTGGTTAACTTCGATCACTTTGCTTAATATAGTTTTCCTATTGACCGTTCTCTAGACGTAGAAGGTAGAGCAAATACTCTGATTTTTTTCACATTCAGTAATTTAAAATATGTGACATCAAATCCCATAAGCTTGTAGTGTATATCCTGTACCTCGTCCGTGCTTTAAGTCTATGTCGATTTGAATGTAATTCTTGAACTCATGACTTCATCGTACAAAGCATACGAAAACGCCTGCTCTTTTTACACAATCGGTATTTCAGACTACCGGACACGAAGTCTCATAATCATATCTATCCTATTTCTCGTCGGTGGTATTACGAACACCGACGAGGTATCATCTGTGCTACGAATCATAAGCCTGTGTATAGATCTATAGCTAAGCTGTACTAGTCAATAAAACTATTAAAATAGATAAGATATAAAAATCTCGTTTGTATTATTATTAATAAATTATTTTCAGTGATGAAATCTTTTAAAGGTATATAGTAAATGAGAGATGATTAATTATCGCACGGTTAATTCTTATTTATAAAAAAGTGGAACTTCATTGTATTTGATATATCAACCTTGTAAACGAACAAAGGAATCAAGCTTAAGTAGAAATAAAAATATTAATTTTAAATGCCATAATAGAGAATTAGTAACGCTCAATATCATTGTAGAGGAATTGAATAAACAAAACCAAATTAAATAAACAATATTTATTTAGTTAATATAAATTATAATGTAAATATGTTACTGTTTATTTGCAAAATGTTTTTAAATGATTATTTATACTGGCTCAGATAATAACCACGTATACTACGATTAGGTATGTCGCATGTGAAGGTTTCACACATTATTAAGAATTATTTGCTATTTTTAGTCATGGGAAACGATTAACAATACTACAGCTGTTTAAAAAAGCATGTACAAAATTGCATATATTTTTCTGAAGCTTTTTCATTTTTAATCGTAAAAGTTTTATCTAAGAAGCATGCTGAAATAGGAATTAAGTACTGAAGAGCTTGTGAGAATTAACTGCTGTTTGAAATCATTGGCCAGTGCATTCTGGGAGTAATCAGTGGAATCAGAAAACACAAGATGAAAATAAATAATGAAGCACAAATGATACTGAACGTTTAGTGTCGCTTGATTTTTATCTGAAATTTCGTGTAACATTAACCATACAATATCCGCTGCAAAATTAATTACAATTACCATAGTGCATCGTTAACAGTGTTTACAGTTAAATAAACGTACATCCAACGATAAAGAAGTATTTGAAGTATTGTACAAAAGATTCTGAACTAAATTATATTATTACAAAAATTAACATGTACGGTTAATCAAATAGTATCATAGCCAAAAATCTATAAAAAGTACATATTAACCTTTCTTTAATGTTGTGTAAAAGATATTATAACCTAATACAGGTTTGAACGATTCACTGTTAATATTGTGCAGTGTTAATTAAATAACTAGTTTTGTAATGAAACTTATGACATGTTCTTTAAAAACGAACAAAACGGTGTGATTGAAAACGCGACAACAAAAGTTGATTGTATCAAATAAACTCACGTGAAAGTATATTTTAGTGTATCACCATGACGCGTAAGTGTGTAATGTGTAAGGAAACGAATTATAGAAATAGTTATAGCTTTTTCTCAGCGCCTAAAGATCCAGAAACACGACAGAAATGGCAGGATGCAATTGGAATTGAAAATTATGCTGTCACGGATGATACATATGTTTGCAGCAAACATTTTCACAAGGATGATATAATTACACATTGGGCCAGTGGAGTGCCACCTTATGTTATAACAGTAAGTATTAATAGGTTTATGTTTACATCTTTACTTTATCTTATCAATTTTTTCATAAGATCTTATTCTTATAATAGATTAAATACAAAAAATGTAGATTACGGCCAGGAGCAGTACCTGGTAGAAATTATCATGAAGAAAACGAGGAAATAACTCAAGAACATTCTGATGACTCGGATGGAAATTATTCACCATTCAAATTAAGAAAAACAGATGCCTTGGAAGAAAAAGAAAAAGATTTTGTCATACCTAGGGCTGAAGAAAAGTTAGAAATAAACTGTTATGAAAAGCATAGAATTATACCTTTACATTATAAATATACCAGAGAATTTCATGATCATAACTACATGCCGAATGTAAAATCATTAGTTAAAGAAGAAACGTTAGAAAATATGTCACATACAAATAATGGACTCCATAAAGAATCTGTGGAAAAGAATTTTAAACAAATAAAGAGAAATAAAACTGTACACCTTAACGAAGACGCTGGAACATTTGTTATGGATGTGAAGACTGAGCCAAGTTTCAATGATGAGGAAAAAAGTCAACATCAAACACCTAAAGAAGATTCTCATTTAAATTCATCTAAAAAAGCATTAGAATCTTCCTCGAAAGTTTCAAATACTTCGGAAGAAGGTGATATGCTGGTACAATTTTGGGAGCATAAAATAATAGAGGAAGAGCCGCTAGATAATAATTTTAAAGAAAAAGAAAATTTATCCATAGAAAATCAAATGAGTAATAATTATAATCAATCAGATGCATGCTGTACTACATATAATGATAATGAAGAAAATGAAATGTTATTTGAAGATTTACTCGAAATCTGTACAGAAGTACTGTTACCGCGTGGTTGGTCCTGTTTAGTAACGTCAACAGGCCATGCCACAACAATAGTATATATGTATATGGGAATGACAAAAAGTGGTATGCCTTTTACGGAGAAACAAGTGTTTATAAAGAGTGACATGACATTACGTTGCGTTGCTGTAAATAGAGAAATTAATCCTCTTACTCATAATCTTATAAGAGAGGGAAAACACTTAAGGGTACAAAATTTATTGGACATAGAAGAGCTTATTGACGACTTTGATCAAAGAATGATTTGCCAAGGTATGTATGATTTTCTTATGGTTCCATGTTATGATTTCAAGAACATTTCAAATCTCTTCATATTCTTTTAATTAGGTATATACAATACTGAAGATTTGCAAGAAGTTACTGACATCAAAGTAGTTTACAAAGATGGAGTAAAATGGAGACACATATTATGTCCATTAATAATGAATAACGGTTCATTACGATGTACGAGATGTATTACTTTATCTCATAGATTACAACGCAGATCCAAAATTCGACATCCCCTTTCCTATAATCTTTCTACATTTACAAAGAACGAACAAAGATTACACGTGATCAGACAAAAGTACAAACGTACGAAAAAACAGGTTCGCAAATATGAATTTATAAAAGAATCCAAGAAATAAATAATTTGAAATATATCCTGGATGAAATTCGATCCTTAATAACATTTTTTTTGCGCACTATCTATAAATAGGATAAATTATTTTCAAGATAAATGGATTGTTTTAGCGAAAGAATAAAAATGAAGATTGTATATCAAACAAATTTTTTAATTAGAATTATTTAAATCTATTTAATTTATATCTTCATTCGAATTACTCATATACAAAAGTGTTCTATTGTAGGACATAGAAAAACAATTATTATTAAAAAATTACGTATTCTATCGATACTTTCGAAAGTTTCTATTTTTAAATATTATTTTTTCTTTTTTCAATTCCTTCATCGTACTCGGTGTATTTT